ATGATAACGATGATAACGATAATAATAAAACTGAAACGTGTGTGCTGTATATAGAGCATATTTCTGGTAGGACGAATATGCATATGTTTGAAATGTGATTTGCATCTTGCTAAACTGCTACATATATCCAGCAGCAATGGTGATGTAGGTCTTTTGTAATCGCATTTTCGCCTAGATTTCCCGAAAAATTGCATGTAGTTAGGATATATTAGGATTAAGTACTATGTGTGTGTGTGTGTGTGTGTGTCAAATTCTACATAGCAACGATCACATTCGCCGAAAAACCATTCTTACTCGTCCGAATTATAAACATTAAACACGCACGTACGATTCGCATGCTCTCGATCTTATTATTTGGTAACATTCATCATGCGCCGTTTTCCAACAGCATGAAATTATTATTTTTTCCAAAGCAAATGAGTGATATCGTCATCGTTGAGCAATGGCGATGCGGTGTGTCAACAGCATATACACAATACATTCATATCACTTGAACAAAATGCCATCTAGTTTCAGTCATGAACAGAGAAATGAACGGGAAATATGGCATAGAACAATCGAAAATGATTGCATCATCTTCTCTCTCTCTCTCTCTCTCTCTCTCTCTCTTTCTCTCTCTCTCTCTCTCTCTCTCTCTCTCTCTCTCTCTTTCAAAGCGATGGATGGGCGGAATTGTAGCAATACAGAACGAAACTCGTTCTCCCCAATTTAAACATCACTTCTTCTCGTTTTTTTCTCTGTCTCTATAATACTTATCGCAAACACAGAGGAGAAAAAAAGAGTAAGAGCACTTTTATTGTGAGCACGATTTCATTCGCATTTATAATCTGCATAATACGCTTTAATAGAATATATTCGTTTCTACATACACAGAGAAAGTCGAGACACAGAATGTGCTGCTGCTACTACTACTATTGACGTAATTGTCGACGTAGTTGCGATTCAAAACTTACTATTATGATTAATACGTTTTTTTTCACGTTCCATCTCACTTATGCAATAAATTTCGTTGCGCTCAGGAAGATCACGAAAACGGAGCCCAATCATTTAAATTGCGGCTGTGTGTATTTCGAATAAATATTTGCTAAACGAATTCGAAACAGCGATAAAGCGACAAACTTTCTTACTCACTGCAAAAAGATGAGAGCATCCGCTTCATTTCATTCGTTGATTTCGTTGGCAAACAAACGAAGGGTAGCGAAATCGAGCCAATGAACATGCAACATCTGAAATGTTTTGCGACGATCTATCATTTAACTCGTGTCGAATATTAAAATGAGTGTGGCGCAAAACGCAAATCTATCGAATTCATTCACCTCAAAACGATTACAAGGATTTCTTTTAGTGCGGCAATTATTGTACCCCCTGTGTTTTGATTACCTATGAAATGCTGTATATACATACACATCACACACCAAATCTTTGTTGTGTTTTTGTTTGAAAACCACTTTTCGACAGCCACGATAGAGTGTGAGTTTGATGCGTTAACACCCGGGCAATTTTGCATAGAAGGAGTTTGTGTGTATGTACATCTTGAAAAGTGCTCTGGACGGGAGTTGATGTTTGACCAAGTTTTTAGCAATCACGTCTTGTCTACGCTCTCTCTCTCTCTCTCTCTCTCTCACTCGCTCTTTCTTTCTACACCCACTTCTCCAGCTGTCAATGTTCGTCGAGCAGCAGCTTACAAAAAGCGTAGTATGCATAAGTACCATTTAATCGCTCTTCGTCGTTGATTCGAAGCGAAAGCGGCATTTAAAGCAGGCAAAACCGTTGATTAAATGAAGTACGAACGAACCGAACAAACAAACGTTGCAGCAAACAATGAACAATGCTCACACACACACACAAAATACCGGGCAAAAAAGGTACACACCGGAGCAAAAAAAAAACAGAACGGCGTACGAAACGATGAGGAAGTCGAAGGGCGGGAAAAATAAAAGAAGAATCGTCACCGTTGTTGACGTCGCCGTCATTATCGTTATTGTCAAACAACATCAAGGCATTTTATGAATTACTAGTCGAATACCTGGAACCACTGTCTATTAGAAATCCATGAAACATGTCGATTTTACATCATCACCAGCCACCAGTCACCTTCATAATCATTCTCTTTCCATCTCCCACACACACACACACACACACACACACACAAACACGCGCACACAGACAGTGTTTCAAATTCGCTTCAGTTAAACTCTATTAACATTAATAGGTTGACGTGCACTTTCATCAAACCCCAAAGTCATTTGCTTTCAAGCTATGGCGCTCGAACGTAAATAATTGTCGTTGTTCTGTCGCTTGTACTTGAGTGTTCATGTACATTTTCGCCTGAGTACATTCTACAATAGCGTCATTTTGCGCGCAAACCCACTCTCGCTCAGATCACTCGCTTCGGCTCACTCCATTGAAACGTGAAAAGTTATCGTTTTTACGGAAAATCCTTCGATGTGGTACGCAATGTGTATTTGTGTAAATGCAAGGCGAGAGGGAGTGTGAGTGACTGTGTTCATAGACGACTTTTTGCAAAAGCACTTTAGCCGAAACAAATGTGACAAATGAATGGATTTTTCAATGGTGCTTGTGACGATACTTATGATTTTTGCATAATTCTTTCCTTCTTTTCGATTTTCTTTAATGTGGTTCGGTTCACTTGTATGGATGCTCATGTCGATTCTAGTTCCGTCAGCTTATTTCCCACAATCGCTTTGTCGCATTTTTTTTCTGCTTTGCCATACATTCAAATGAGCTGTTTGCGAGAGAGATTGAGAAAAGAATCAACAATGGATACCTTATGTCAAAAATTCGTTCTATTCCATAAACGACACGCTCTTAATTCGATGTTCGTGTGATGCGCAAAGGCGACGAAAAGCAACAACCAAAAAAAAAAACGTTTTCGATCACCTTTTTTCCAAGAGCCTTTTTATGCTCGAAAATCGAACATTTGCCACCATTACAAAGACGACGACGACGACGACGTCGACGACCATGACAGAGAGCACATGCTGAGATTCCTCTTTTCTCTCAACTAAACGATTTTTATTATTCATGCCATGTTCACGCAGCAGATAATCTTTTTAAGAGACCCATATTTTTCATTAATGTTGATAAGCAACAACAAACTGATTCGAGTGGTGTGTGTGTGTGCGCGCGCGCAAGCGAGCGAACAAAGCGAATGTTAACACGAACACGGAGCATAAGCGTCTGTTTATCTAATATTTACGAAAGTGATACCATGGATTAACATAAAGTTTGAAAAGCATTACTAATATTAAGTAATGGCATGTTTGAGCTGTTCTTTCTTCGGCTGTTCGACGCGCTCTAGTCAGGATTTGAAGGCCCTGCTCCACAGCAGCTGTCTTCTACCAGTTAGGTTTGTTAAGTAATTTCGTAATTGCGTGTAAAGGTCATGCCAAAATCACACTCACACAAACACGTTGGAAAGGCGAGCGGTGCTTGTTTCACACCCACACATAGCCTGTACATCTCCCAAAAAAGTGTGACAAAGTTTCCATTCTCACCATGTCGATGATCTCTCTATTAATCGGAGCTGGAACAAAAAGAGGTGGGAGAGCAAACAGGCGAGCAGGGAGTAAATGAAGAAAAAATTAATTAAAAATCATTTTTTACGAGATTCTCTGGAAGGATAAGACAGTGATTGTGATTCGATGTTAGCACGTGGTCTGGATATTGCATTATTATTATAATCAAAAACAGTTCCAATCAAAGCGACGCGTTTTTTTGCACCGTTGGAAAATTGCAACTCATGAAAATGTGCCGTTCACCTGTGTGTCTGTATGTGTACGGTTGATTGTCCCATTGTTGTGTATCCTCTTTTTTCCGGGCCCCGTAATGTATTCATTGTATATTTAAAAACATAAAAGAGCATTTTCTATTCGTATATCATTGGATGGAAAATAGCATGCCTATAAAATGTGCGTGGAGTAAATGAAATCAGCGTTAATACACTGGGTTTTCTCGGTTAAACGAAACTTATATGTTTTCTCTAAACGAATTTTCTGCTGATGAAACGCTCGCTCTTTCTTCTTATTTTTTTATTGAATGACACAACCAAACAGTTTTCGAACAGTGTTGTGTCTTTGTTGACATCTTTTATCTAGTTCACTGGAAAAGCAATCTAGCCGCTAACGAAACACTTACCTTGCGTTGCCAAAAGGTTGATATTGTTCACACATTTTGATGGCCATCAACACATGAAATTTTCAAACAATTTATATTTTATGCAAATGAAACGCAACGAAATTGCGTTTCACAATCGCTGGCCTCCGGAAACGGGTTTTTTCTGGTAATTTTTGTTCTTCAGGTCGCAAAATATTGGGTAAAAACGAATCGGTAAACTTTTTAGCCGAGCAAAATATGTGACTACCAGAATTTTGACGGTGAATCATGCTGTGGCTCGTTTCATCAGCAGCTTCTAACGTCGCAGTTTGCCACTTCGATTGCAAAAGATTTAATTTTCGACGTATACAAGCGTTGGCAAAAAAAAGTTGAGCTCGGGCAACAGTTGTGTGCATTCATGCTTTGGCCTAAAGTGAAACATATCGTATGCCGAACCGTTGTTGCCACTTTATGCATTTATTTATGAATTTTGCTAAAATGAAGAAAACAGACACCGAAGCATAAATTAAGTGGGAATTTTATATGATTCAAGCAAGACGTGCCACATCCATCTGATTTCTGCATAAATTTCCACGCACATTGTAATTAATAAAGAACTTTTCCTATTAACGACGACGTCGACAGCAGCAACAGCAAGCAGCGAACACGCAACGCAGCCAGCCACTCGTTTACATATTAAGTGTAAAGTTACTATCTCGAATAGTTATAAAGCAACACGGCATTTCCAATTATTATATTGCGAAAATGGATGCAAGCATCCTCATTCCTCTCAGCTCTCGTCGCATGCGCTCCTACATTGAAATTCAAACTAAATGAATAATTAATTGAATTAAATCTACGGAATGATCGAAACGCATTTTCACTTTGAAGATGAAATCACTTCTAAAAATCATTTTTATTATTGGAAATATGGTTTTAATTCTTCATACAGAGAGGAATTAGCATCAAATGGGTGTAGGAACATTTAGATTTTATGAAAAGATCAAATTTTAAAATGACATAAACGTTCGAACTATATCGATAAAATGGTTGAGAGGAGCGCGAGGTGGTGGTGGTGGTGTTGTATATCGAGCTTCGCAGCTAAGCTCTTACAAAGTGATGAAATTTTAATGTGGATTTATAATTGAATATCCGGAATATAACACACTGAACGTTACATACATTAAAATGGATTATATATATATATATATATATATTGAACAGTCATTACTTAAGAATATTATGAAACCGGTTGCGTATGATGAAGCACAGAATAATCTTCGGCACAAAATCATGAGCCATTTTCTCACACTTTTCATATTTTATTTGCGCCACGTTAATTTGAATAATTTTTTTCCCATTTCATAATGTCACATCAAGTAATGACTAATTTTCGAGGAAATTTATCAAGGGGCGAATTACTACTGGAAACCTGTTTTCAGTACTTTTCAGTACCTGCGATCGATTTTCAGTAGCGATTCAGTTTTTTCAGTACCTAGTATATATGACTTTTATTGCAGTTCAGTATTGTTAAAATTTCTTGACACTTGTGTTTAATGTTTGTTTTCAAGCATTCGAAATGGAAGTCCACTTATATTTTAATCAGAAAAGTCTAAAGACACAATAAAGAAGCTGACATTAGAAAAGAGTGATTTATGTCTAAAATATATGTCTGGCAATTTTCGTCGAATGAACATTTCTCGACATTGATGTGTGTATCATCAACTCTTTGAAATGTCAGTGCATCTCTGAAAACACGAAGACTAAAACCAAACCAAACAAGAATGGATTTTTTACACATATGTTTTTCAGCGTATTTTTATTTCCAAACTATTGAATGTCATATTTTTATAGTTTGGCACTTTTGTAGACAAATCTTTTTCAATTTTTTCCAAAATTCTACCTCAATATCAATTTTTAAACTGTATGGCGTTAATGATATAAGTCAAGTGTCATAGTTTGACGTATTCAATGCATAAACTGACACTGAAGTACTGAAAACTGGTTTTCAGTACTTTTCAGTATCAAGAAAAAAATTTCAGTTGTTTTCAGTATTTTCAGTCAATTCAGTAGTGATTCACCCCTTGAAATTTATTCACTAATTCACTCGTATGAAACGTTGTAAGAGAGAAGGCATTTTAATGAGTTTCCTTTTAAAGCACACTAATTACGGCTGTTCAGTGTTCGCTCCGTCTAATAACGGCTGTTTTCTTGTCCTATTCAATTCTTAATCCTAATTTGTAAAACCGTTCAAAAATGCCTGCATCTATATGAAAATATTTATTAATGTTGGAATGGCATTAACACGTTGGATGGCAATTGTTTTCTTTAGTTATCTTTTGTTTCGATTTAAATATTGATAAAGCACTTTGTTGGGCCAAAATCAATTGAATACATGTACACAGTTAAATCACAAGTTGTGATTCGATTTTTGATTATTGCGTTACATCTTTGGTTAAAATGTAATACGATTAAAATATTTTATAAAGTAATAGAATTTATCATAGCCTACATAGAATTTTATTGTCATTTATAACATTTTGGAATAATTCATTTGTATAATTTTTTTTCCATATATATTTCATATTCATTATTACAACTAATAGAATAAAGACACTTAGAAATATTGTGTGTGAGTATATAGAATATAGTTCAGTGCCTGCAGCTCGATGTGAAAAAAAGAGAAGCCAGCAAATTCGAACGATGAACGAACCTGTGTTTGTGTCTTCGAGTTAAATAGAAGATTCTCACTTTTTTTCAAACTAACATGTCTATGTCAACGATGTATCTTTTGTAAAATTGGTATAAACACTATAAATAAAGCTCCTTTGCATGTGAAATAAAAACAAAAACAATAAATCGTTTTATCTATCATTTTGTACTTTTAAATGAGCAAATGACAGGCACCGTTTTAATTTAAAAAAATTTGTCAAAAAAATCAAACTCCAAACAGGATATTTTCAATGAAAATTCGATGTTTTCCTTCAAGCCAGTTATTTTTTTTTGTAGAATTCCCACCAGTTCGAGGAGAGAGCTTGAATGTATGCATGTTTTGCGGCCGCCAAAGAAAGTCCATTGGTGTTTGGTACGAGAACGCACAGTCGAAAGCCGAGAAGGCACCATAAAAGTCCCAGGCAAAAGTATTCGATGCCTAGATTCTTGTGTTCAATTTCAACCGAAATGAAAATTATATTAAAAATGCATTCGCATATGGTGGTAAAAGCGATGGCCATGGCTTTTGTCGATGTGGGAAAGCACTCCATCAAATACAGATAATTAATTACATCGACGGGAAGTGTTAGAAAGTGAATATAAATGGAGAGAAATAGAAATGCGAGTACCCTGAAAAAACCGCTGAAAAGGCCAGCCCAATGGAATATGGTGAAGAGCGTCATGGATGCACCAACCAAAAATGTTGCGAAATGAAATCCTCGTTTCCAATTGAAATAGTTCCCGACCAATGTGATTGGTACGCCAAGTATAAACCATATGGCAATCGCCCATCGAACTGCCTTCTCATACACACGGATCAACTTCATAATATCTTCCCATTTTCGGATAAATTCGATAATAGTGGGTTTGTCCATCATCTGATTCACTTCGCTAATAATCATACTCTCAATAAGTTTCACAAACATGACGGTGAACAACATATGAAAGCATTGAGCGCTTGTAATACGTGCACTTAACACAATTGAAACGAGACGCCGATGAATTGTTGTAAATATTTTGCCTTCCGGGAATTCGGCATAATCATCGTGGCACATTTCACGCATCGCTTCAAATTCCTGTTGGACAACTGGCGCATGTTGATCCTCACCCATCAATCGGGCCATCGCAGACTGAGCCTCTTCTTCGCGATAATTATGATACAGCAAAAATGGTACCGTTTCGTGTGAAAAGAAGAAATTGATAACAACAGAGATGAAGCTCAAAGCAATTGTTGCAGTTGATATAATACCAGAAGACATGGTTTCACTCTTGTAGGCCACATTCTCTGGCTTTGAACCTTTGAGTACATCAATCGTCAATTGAACATCCGGCATTGGAATGTAGATGAGAAAAGTTGATGCAATAAATATCGACAAACCCATTGTGAGACCAATTATTGTAACGATTGTGCGACGAAAATCTTTCGTAGCATTTTCGCTGGCCTGCACGAAAATGGTGACGTACGTGATGCCATGACTAATGCCAGCGATTAGACGACCGAACAACAGTATCGTTTGCCAACCGGACACAGCAACGTCAGCGCTATAGAATACACAGCCACTTGCAAACATCACTAGCGCTGCAACGTACTGTAAATATCATATGGAGCAAATGGAATCGACGTTGTTACTTCGATTATTTCGCCAGAGAAAAACAAATCAAGAAAAGTATTTGAGATAACTTACGTAAACATTCTTCTTCTGGACAGTTCGAACCAAAAACCATCCAGCTACAAAACAACCAAGTATCATCCCGACATACCAACATATGATCGTAAACATTAATCCAACGCGTTCGGAAGACATGACATCATTGAAGTAACGCTCACGCCATTCCGTCTTATTGATTTGGCTCAAGTCGTCTCGAAACTCCTTGGATGTTTTAAAGAAAAGCACCTGATAAATCGCCCACACCGTATGCAATCCAGAGCAAAGAACCAACAATAAACCTACAAAAAAACGCACACACAAACAATTCAAAATCCATGCAATATGATTTCATCAATTTTTTTGGATGAATTTACATAGGAGCCACGATTCTAACCTGCTAATATCGATTTGATTTGTTCGCAATATTTCCATAGCAGCACGTAACTGCCCTCTGTAGGCACTTCATTGAAATAACTTTTCCTAACTTCACCATTCAAAGCCGATCCTTTTGATTGCATCGTATCAATATTCAAACTTTCGACGCTCGGTTCACGCACATCGCTTGTCATATACGACGTGTTGAAATTGTGATTGAACGGTACCCTTTCATTCAATTCATGTGACTCGGTTTGATTCTCATCACCCCACTGATTGAATGGATCTACATTTGCCTGCATTTTATCTCCTCAAATCTCAATTCACCGATCACTTTTCACAACTTTCAAACCAAAGCAGATTTTGCAACAAAATTCTAAAAGTGAAACCAAATTAAAGAGACAAAAACAACGAAATCACGGAAAACACGCGACCGAAATTTACTTTCACTATCTAAAACTGAGAACAAAAAATAGTCTTGGATTTGCGGAAGAATCGTGTGGTTTCGACTTAATTCAATTGCTGAATGAAAGTTATCCCATGTAAAGTGAGCAGTTGGTTGACACAGCAGCCAAACTTCGACTGAAAAATCACCCAGTCTCAGCTAAACGAATACATGCATACGACACGAGCAACTAGCACCACTAACCAAGCATCCGTGCACAACACGCACACAGCCAAACGACGAAAAATGGCATGACAACTAAGCGAAATATATCGGCAAGAGAGATATGAAAACTATTTTCCGCAGTATATTACCCAAGCTCTAGTTATTCCAATGGACAAGACGAAAGAAATGATGCCACCAAGGTCATTCGTCGAATGAAAAACTTAACAACGAACAAATGAACGAACGAACGAGCGATAAACAGAGGAAACACTGCTAACAACAATAACAGCAGCGCGCAACAAAATGCCGTTGGGTGGTGTTCGAACAAGAAAATTGACGTCGAAATGTCTAAAGTTTTCAATGGAAGTTTCTTTCTAGATTTTGAACGCAACGATCCACATAGAAAACTTGTGTATGCGCGACGATGAAATCATTCGAGACACACCACCAGCCAAAATATGGAACAAGCGCATCCGTTTTATGTTAATATTGCACACATATACATACACACAGCCGCAGTATCTTGCCCCATTATCATTTCACTTTAATGGATGGCAAAAATACAAATAAAGCGAAGAACATGAACCAGATGAACGCAACGGAAAAAAAAATAAAACTAGATCAAAACATAACATTTGCCATTCGCCCGAACGGGCATTGTGTGTAGTTGTGCGCGATTTAGAGAGTCTTCGTTGGCAGTGTATGTATTTGCTGGCGCTGGAGCTGAGAATAGCAAAAATCCATAATCAATTCACGCATAACATCTTTATGGTGGATTCTTTTATTTTTCATTCGTCACTTTTTTCTGTATGGGATGCGAACAGTGCTGTTGGTATGTTGGACGACCGGCGACAGACATTGAGTCTGGAGCCAATTTGACGTTAGCAAGTGCCAGAGAGAGACGAAAAAACTATGCGATGTATGGAATATGACTGTGTGTGGTTCATTGAGCGAAAAGAAGAGAAAGTGGTTGGCAAGTGTGTGCAGATTCGGTGTGGCAAAATATTTGCCAAACGTGATGAAAATCAATAGAAAAAATGAATGGCGCGCATGGAGGGACACAAGCATTAGGATTTTTCGCTTGCTTTCAATTCCGTTTTTAATCAAGTGATCAGACAAAAATTGCGGGGGAAAAATCGGAACAGCTCAGATTTCTCGAGAACTAAGTAAACTCAGCCTAAAATGTTCAACTTATGGGATGCAATCATTGAAACACTAAATGCAATATTACCACGACAGCGACTTGAACAATGCTGATGATGATGATGTTATTTATTTATTTGAATTTATCGGAAATTGTACTTTCGACGATTTCATTTAGTATTCGTCTTCGGGCGATATTGACGATTTCACTGAGCGCGTCACGCCACTAGCAGCAGCAGCAGTAGCAGTGGTAACAAGTGAGACAGAGAGATAAAGTGATGAATAAATCAAATGGTAATATTAGCAGTTAGCGTTAATATGCTGTCTTCAATTGTGCTTATAGCGTTCTGCGAACTCCTGCGCTGCCGCCATCGCCACCTCCACCGCCATCGCTATCGCTGAGACCCGTCGTCGTTTGTGTGTAATACACGAACCGGAAATGAAAAAGAATTAGATGTCGTGGACCATAAATAAAATTGTTTTACGTGCTATAAGTATTAAGCTTTTTGAAGTAGAACATTGTATTAAACTGGCTGCGAGTGGGAACATCAATCGTATTCTTTTATTGCCACGCTGGGGCAATTCAAGTGCATTGAACATTTTGGCTTCCTCTCTGCTATGCGTCGTGTGATTCTTTGTTTTGCACAATTCATGCGAATGGACCAATGGCAGGAAATATGGAGCAATTGGCACCGAGCTGAGCTAAGCCAAACCATACCGAACCAAACTGAACGAGCAGAACGGGGAAATGCGCTTTACAGGGCCAGTCTAAGCGAAAATCATTTATAAAACGCTGTCCTCGAGAGCTGAAGGTACTTTCGTAATAGTGAAATGCACAGATTAAACGGATCACCGATGAAAAATGTGGCCAAACACATACAACATAAATCCCATCCAAGGCTAGAAGAAACTATTCACAGAGAGACAGCATCTGGTGAATTGTTTGAGATGTCATGAAAACGACTGTTCATTAAATCGTTGAATACATTTCGAGAGATAGTTGTAATGACACTGAAAATATAGTTCGTGCAATGGACATGGTGATACATTTTATCCACTTGAATGGCAGCAGCATGAATATTTGACGATTACCGCCAAATTCACTCACACAAACATATTTATCCACTACTTTTTTCCGTCGTCGTTGTTGTTGTTGTTCCGGTAGGTTGAAACAATTTCATGTCGCATTTTACTTTTCCGTACACAACGTGTCAAGGGAAAGTATAGGAATTGGTCCCGAAAACTTTTTTCGCAAAATTGGTTTAGATCATCATAAAAACTCATGAAACGCGTAGAAAACCACTTTTTGAGACACTTTTCCGTTCGTGTGCCGTCGTCGTCGTTGTCGTCGTTGTCGTCGTCGTAGCTGTTTGTAAACACGATAACTCAAAAAATAATTGAGATAATCGAAATCTGGAAATGCCAAAAGTTTTGTATCCGAAAAACTTAGTTTAAGTTCGAAGATGAGCCATTTTCGATTTGATCCTGGGGTACTTGCCCTAAGAAAAACCTCAAAAAATTGACACTTTTG